CCGATACAGACGTGACAGTGATGCTGTCCACAAGTATCCTGCATGGAGATCACTCTGTAACCACTGCTACATTCAAAATCTTGGTTAGTTCATTTAAAAGACATTTACTAGCCTCTGAACAGGCAAGCTGGATCAGTCTTCCTCTGCCGTTTTCTCTAACCTTTCAAATAACCCTAAACCTCTGCTGGTCAGAGCCTGATCCACTGTGTTAGTGATGACTAGAGGTGTGACCATGCCACAGTCAGCCCCGTCAGAGTGAACAGAGGTTAGTGTTGTAGCACTTCAGACGTTCACACAACATGCAGCACTTAACGCTGGACCTTAGAGGTCCGCTCTGGTGGGGGGAGGGGTTGGAGGGACTCCCCAGGGGGCACCGTTCACCTTCTTCCCTAAACCTGTTGTCAGTAAATGAAAGAGACAGCATCCAAGATCAGGCACGATCACAAACAATTCACATATATCTCACTGAGCCTCACTGAATTCAATTAATTAGGAGGGAAATGTTTTGGATTTTCAAGCTCAAGGCTGCTCAACATCTGGGCCTTAATGGAGATTTAGATTTAACACACTTTGTGTCTAGATGGTTTGTGTGTTGTTGATCTTGTGCATGTTCTCCTTGTTCCCCTCCCCCTCCTCAGGGAGAGGAGGGAGCTGCTAGTTGTTTTACTGGACTGATGATGCGTTGATGAGTATATGACCTTATCTGTTCATTAGTGCTACTTACTTAAATACGTTTCATTTGGATTGTTTGCCATATGCTGTGACTTCCTGACGAAGTTAGATGTTGAAACGCGTCTAAATTCCTTTTTAATACCTTGTTCAATAAATATGCCAATTTAATTAATGGAACTTAATTTTTGTAAAAGACGGGTGCCTTGATCTTTTTTGTTTGCTGGTCTCCACAACCAGAGCACTGCCTTCTTTCAGATTACTGGTCTGATTTCAGAACTCTAGGTCCAAACAGCAGCTCTCCTTAACTCTGCTGTTTTACAGCTGGACCAATGTGCCAGTCATAGACTGTGTATAAACATGCACAGCCTGACCGCTCCCAGAAGTGAAGCCACTGCAAGTCCATTGCCTCCTGGTGGCTGGTTACATTATAGATCATAAACCCCGCCCCCTCCACGTTGGTGGATGGAACTCCAACCAACTAAACTACTAATTGAAAGTACAAATCAAATATGTTTTTCCCAGAGGTGATTTCGGTGGCTTTGGTAGATATCACCTCACTGATTTGTGTAGAAGTGGTTGTTTATCTGGTGCATCTGTTTTTCCAAACGTTATTTGATGGTTATAAGGGGGTGTGTTTCTGATGACATGATAGCTTTGATTAGCGGCGTGATGCTGTCACTACTGCACACAATCTGATAAAAACAAGATGGCTGCCCCTGTATTGCTGGTATTTTGGATAGTAGCAGGAAGTGGTGACGTTTCCTCCATTTTATATACAGCCTATATTGTCAATTCATACATTTCTAGCTGTGAAACTAATAATGAGGTTACACACCATTGGTATTGCAGCAAGGCTCTGAGGTCTCCCAGTTCATGGCTTTCTGAACAGCCTTCTTCCAGCGAGCAAACCGGAACTCGCTCTCTGTTGGTGAGAAGGACAGACATGCAGAGCTGAGTGAAACAATTTGTTTGACAGGCTTTTTATGACACTTCTAGAGACACTGTCGTGACAGTATTGTCCACTATCCTTGGACCCGTGGCTCACGTTTCAGTTACATCTGTGCATGAGTGGCAGTTTGACTTCAACGGTGTTCAAACTGAAGCTAGATACACGTCACAAACATGAATGTGAAACAACACAAGAAGATAAGAGTTGAGCATTAATGCCTATAATGTGAACGTAGCCTGTACTGTACGTTATCTTCCGGGTCAGAGTTTGAGAATTGTTTTAAGAATCCTGTGCCAAGAAACAAATACAGCTGGTTTCAGTATCTATAGCAGGTCCTTGGGCTTCCTGCCTTACCATCAGAGTTGATCTGAGGTTCATACTTCTCCGACGTAACATGCGGGAGGTGATCGGGGCTCAGGCTCCACACGTCCACCCCCTCTGCTGCCCCTGCTGCCATGGCTGCACCCAGAGCTGTGGTCTCTGACATGGTGGGTCTCACTTGACCAGACACACAAAAGGAAACATGTTCAGATTGTAAATTAGAAACTATTCCTATGACCGGGTTCATCAAAACTATACTTGAAAATATCTAACTGGGCAATTTAACAATTCATTGTACTAAAATGCAAAATGTTTGACGTGGCAGACCGACAGGGAGAAAACTGTTTAAATTCTGCTTGGCCTACTTCCCACAGCTTGTGTGTTTTTACTTGGCAGATGACACAACCCTCCACTAACAGATCATTTAGACCTGGAAAAGTCCTCCGAACAGAAGAAGAAGCACCTGGTATCCACAAATATGAACAATGTGGATCACGTGTCGGCTGATGAAATGTTCCCGCACGCAGTATGTAAACAAGAGTAAATGGGACAAAAGTCAAGGGAGACTAATGTATAAAGTCCATGTTCAGACTCCTGTCAGCAGCCAAGCTGATTTCAAAATGACTGTCTGAACTATGAGGGACTTTTGTGAAGCTGTTCATGCTGCCGTATTATGTACCTACTGTAGCAGTGGTGGCCACAGACTGGCAGGATTAAATCTGAGTGGGACTAGTGACAAAGCAGCACTTGCCCTTCCTTCATCAACGCCTTAAGCAAGGCCTTTAACCCCAGCTGTACTCAGCAGCCGGCAGGTCTGACTAGCTGTAGTGGCCGGCTTCCAGGTGTGAGTGTAAGTGCATGAAAGTGTTCAGGGCTTTCCAGGGAAAAAGAAAGAGGTGACCTCTCCATGATCACTACTTTGGCTAAATAAAGGTTAACAAAACAGTACTACTGTCATTTAGCTACATCCCTCAGGAGGAGGATTTATCTTACTAGTTTAAGAAAGTTTTTAATGAAGCTGAATTTCTTTAAACTTTTGTTTTTGTCACAAACATTTCCAGGTATTTTATGATATACATTGTTTTGCTTGTTATTCATTTTACATAAGTGGTGGAAGATAAGAAAAGCACTGATACATACATGTATATTTACTGTATGTGCATGTTTCAGTGGGCATGTACAGGTATATGTATGATGCATGCCCTGTCTGAGTCCTCTTACCTACGGGCATGCAGAGGATGTCAGCCTGCAGCTGCATCAGTAGTCTGTTGGCTGTCATGCCTCCATCAACCTGCAGCTCTGTCAGAGGGACACCGCTGTCCTGGTTCATTGCATCAAGGATCTAAAACACACAGTGTGCCATTCACACAAAAACACATCCAAAATGCTCTAAATGCATTTAAACTGTAAGGTGTTGTGGCTAATACAGTTTACCTTCAT